GCATTACGCCAAGGCTTTTGCAACTCTTTGTTGAAAATCCGACTTAGATAAATCCTCTCAAACAGCCTTTTAAGAATAAAACATATATAAATAAAAAAGGAGCAAACCACCACACACCATTTTTCCTTTTATGCCTTAAAAAAAAAGAAAACAAAAAAAATCCAAACTATAACTACTCCTGAAATATAACAGAAAATTATTTGGTGGATTCAGAAGAGTCATTAACACTCAGCTTTAAGTGAATGTTAACAGTAAATAAAGAAATCTCTTGATTGTAATAGTTGCAACAAAGCAATAATAAACCAGTAGGTGGTCATCAGTAATGATAAATGTATCATTATTACTGCGTGTTGGGGAGCAGGGTTTGGAAAGTACTTCAGACTTTTTAGTGGCAAGCTTGGTGGCAATTCGTTTCTTAGCCTGGGAAAAAGGAGGGGAGGTGGGGGAAAGCCATATAATTTTATACACAATTTAGGTGAAAATAAATTTAAATCTGTATATTACATTTTTAATTTCAAGATAGTAATTAAAGCTGGTTCATTATACCTCCTCTGAAAGTCTCAGCGCTCATCTTAATTGCTTGTTTGTACAATCTGCTTTCTAAGACACCCAAGGTTACTGGGTTCTGAAGGAGGCGAAACGGAATTATTTACTGACGTGGTGACTCTTCGCCCGATGGCGTCACGCTTGTCTCAGAAGTTTGGGCTCCATGGTCCTCACCACAGCACGGCCGGGGCCTCCTTTCTGCCCCTGGGGAAGTCTGTTGCTCCTTTAAATACTTCGGAGCAGGCACGTTTCTGATGAGGATGTTCAGGGTGCTTTAATTTATGCGTTTGAAAGGAAAAATCGATAGCAGAGGTGTTTTTCGTTTGGGGTTTTTATTTTCCTCTCCTATCCCACTAACCCCATTTAAACTAAGATATCTCCATTTAAGCTTGAGGCTCTCCTCCTCGTTACACACACACACACACACACACATCCCATCCCCAAGCAGGACAAACATAAACACCCTCCCGTTTTTAGCATTTAGAGGCGAGTTATGGAGCACCCGTCTCCTCCTGGCTGCCAGTCCCTTCCCGTACGATTAAATAAAAACGCAAATGGCCTTTATTTTGAATGTTTTTGGTTCTGTTTCTATTCCGGAGGGTGATGCCTGGGGAACATCATACCCTGCGGCGGGGGTATCCGCATCTCCTGTCTAAGGTCTGTACGTACCTTCGGCGAGGACCACCTCGGGTTTGGATGTCTCGGAACATATTAAATGGAGAAGTTCAGAGAGCTCCCTCAGACAAAAGATGCTGATTCCTTTCCTTCAAGCCGCCGTGCTGGTTTTCCCGGAGGGATATCAAACTACCCAGAAATGCCCCAGCCCTAAACTCTCCCGGTGCCTTTCGAGAGCCAGGAGAAGATCACATTGAGTCTTTCCCTCTCCCGTTATTATGATTACAGATGCATCTTCTGAGGCGTCCTCTTGCCACTGAAAAAAAAAAACAAAACAAACCCAACCAACCCTCCTCGAGAGATGTCTGCCCTTTTATTGTGTCTAGCTGGGTTATTCAGGAGCAGAGACAAAAGCCCGAAGTGATGTGATCTAAATGAGCTCCGGGGTTTTCCAGATGGGACCACCTCTATTCCAACGCCCTGTCTTCTTTCTGCCCAATATAATAAAACGGGATTAATATACATATACAAGAGTTTCTCTCTGGACCAAGCAGCGCAAGCGAAATCTACCTACAAGTATTTTTAAAACCTCCTTCGCTGCCTAAAATTTGTTCAGTGAAGCGGTTTTATAACGTACAACGGCACCTTGTGTGTATGGTACTTAACACTGCTGCGAGTTTCAATGGGATGTGGAGAGGCGGGAGGAGGACATGTGTACGCGTTGGGGGTGGTCTTCTTTGTGGTTTTCTAAACGCAGAAGGTTATCTCCCACCTTGTAGCCTCTCTGCCTCAATATTTAAGTGCTATGGAAGGCCGTGAGGGCTGTTTGGGGTGCTTGAAACTTGGCCGCTTTCCTCAGCTGTTCGTTTTCACACGAACCAACTCGCAGCTACTGCTGTCGCCTCCCGCTCAGCCCTGCAAGGCAGAATTGCGATAGGGAACGAAGAGGGGAAAAGGAGCCAGGACTATATGGTTTATCACTTCCAGTCTTCTGGGAGAAGTCTGTCCACCTTCCCCTCTCCTCTCTGAGGAGGTGACTCCAACCCAGGTGTTGTAAACGGCAACAGCAAATAACGAAATGAACGGGAGTAATTGGAAGCGGCAGCAGGACAGGAACCCAGGTCTGCACCTACCCGGGGGGATGAATGCGGACACCCCACCTCAACTCGGGATTCCCTCCCGCCCCTTGCCGGGGCCCAGGATGGGCTCCAGTCGAACCGCGGGGACCACGATGGGGTCGGCCGCGGCCGGAGCAGCCCCGCGGGCCTTGCCCGCTTGGGGGTCACCTGCGGGAGCTGCCCGGCCCCTGGGTGAACTGGCTTTCCTTGGCTCCCAAGTGCTCATACTGGGGTCATGCTACCTACGCCACAAGGGTCTTCCATGCTACCTACCCCACAAGGGTCTTCCTACCTAGCCCACGAGGGTCTTGCTACCTACCCTACGAGGTTTCCCAATAGGCTTAAGTAGGGAAAAAAAGTAGAGAACGGTGCGCATTTGCTCCACTTCTCTAAGGTGTTGATGCGGGTCAGTCTCTGTTCCCACTTTGGAGAGATTCACCGAGCCAAAGCCCCTCGGTACGGTTGCGGGCAGTGGTTTTGCACCCTCTCCCTTCCACTGGAATGTATACACCCAGTCCCCATGGTGACTATTCCCCTATGCGCGAAATTGAGGAAGATCCTCAAGTTTCCCAACAGAATTTAAGGGGTTCAATAGCACCGAGCAGGTGAACAAACACTTTTATTTTGCTTTTCGTTTACTCATCACAAAATAAACCGCTGGCGTCGGCTAAGGACTCCCTCGTACCAATAGCGCGTTTTCAGCCTCTCCCAGGCTGCTTCGTTGAAAGCCCTTTACAAAACCCGCTTATCTCTTTCGCCTCTCATCCCTTTTGCCTCCTGCATCCGCTTTTCCTTCACTTCCAACACCGGGCTTAGAGCTTAAGGCGAGATTGTCCATCCCTGCCTCTCCCGGGAACCACGGGGGAAAAAGCCACCGGGTGACTGTGAGATGGGGAGCGGCAGCTGCAGGGATGCAGGGACCGAGGGCCCGCAAGAACAGGCGGCTTGTCCCCAAAATCCACCCCTAGTACCCCGTGCCCCGTCCCTCCTGGTGCCGACCAGGAAGCGAAGACAGGAGGGGAGATTTTCTCCGTGGTGTGGTAATAGATCATACAATGTGTGACACGGGTTTAACCAATAAAACAATTTGAATCAATTAGCCGGCGGAGGAGAGTTTTGAAGTGTAAAATTCATGTCAGTCTGGCTAGGAAGCATTGATTAAAATGTCACCAACGCGAGGCTTATAGCTCTTGCTCACATGAAAGCAGCAGGCTCCGTGCAGGAGACGAGAGAAGTAGGAGGGAGGGGGGAAAGGGGAAGTCCCCGTGTGACAGTGGCGGCACGGGGGCGAGCAGGGTTTAATCAGAAGTGACAGAAGTAATAAGGAGAGGTGTGATTTATTTTTTTTTCTTTATTATTTCAAAGTTAGCAGCGACCCGAGCAAACCGGGGGGCTCCGTTTCGCTACTAGGGGTGAAAGTGGAAAGAGTCGGTGCGCTTTAGCGTTGATGTGTTGGGAAAGGTCGGTGCGGAGATTTTTGCCTGGATCTGTGATGCGCGGGAAGAAAAAACAAGGGGAGAGATGCGGAAAACGGAAGGAAGAAAACACAAAAAAGCCCTCAAACACCAGTTTTTGAAGCCAAGTGTGCAGGAAGGTTTGGTATTGGGCGTAAAGAGGAAAAGAGAGATGGAGTCATCTAAACAACGACAAAAATCAGAGCGGTATGAGGAAACACTGGCGCTCCAGATGTTCTCCCCTTTTTAGCTAGAACCGAGTTTTTCGTTCTCTTGATCCCGTTTTTCAGCCCGTTCCACAGTTTTGCTCATTGGAAAGGTGCGGAGTTAAGCGGGTTTGGCCTCCCCACTCCTTGCTGCCGACCCCGTCCTCATCCCGCGCTGCGTGGAGCAGAGCCCCACGAGGTTAACAATGTTTGGGGGGGGTAGATGGTGGGAAAATCTACTTTTTCCCCTCCACTCCTTCCACAAAAGGCAGGCAGACGTGGTTACCCCGCTACGGACTGTTTGACACGGGATTTTTCCACCCTGAATACGGGGCTTAAAGCAATTAGGGAAAAACTGTATCTCCGCTGTGTTGCTCTTCATGGGAATAAGAACCTGGCATCGGGTCCTTCTGCAAGTGGGACTGGAGAATCACTCGGTATATTTGGGAAGGGAAATGCGGTTTGCAGCAGTTGTTTGTGCCCACGAGGACACGGCTGTGTCGTGAAATCAACTTTTTTTATCCTTTCTCCTTCCTCCCCCTTCCCTTCGCGCATATTTTCGGATACACCCATTAAAAATTATCGTTTATGAAAAGATGCTAAAAGGGGTTTAGGTCTAGTATATCCAGTTATTTGGAAGCGACTGGGTTCAGAACTGCGGAGTAGGGTGAATAAGGAGGAAGGGGAAAATGGGAAAACAGGGGGAAAAGGGGAAAAGAGGGGGGGAAGTGGGGGGGAAAGGGAAAAGGGGAAAGAGGGAAAAAAGAGGGAAAGCGGGAAAAGAGGGGAAGAGGAAAAGGGTAAAAAGGGGAAAGAGGAAAAGGGAAAGAGGGAAAAGAGGAGAAGAGAAAAAGGAAGAAAAAGGGAAAGAACAAAAGGGAAAAGGCGGAAAAGAGAGAAAATTAAGAAAAAAAAAGAAGAAAAGGAGGGGAAGAGGGAAGTAAAGAAAACCCCAAAGTGCATCCCACTTTCAACTGTTCCGTTCCCTCGACCGGGGACCGGGGCAGGGTGTGAGCGGTGCAGCGCTCGGGGCTCCGTCCCCGACGGGACGCCCGCATCCCTCTCGGTGCGGGGAGGATGGGAAAGGAGGGTTCCGGGGGCACCCCCCCGCCAACCCCTCTTTCCTCGCCCTCCCGGTTGGGGGGGGGGAGAGCACGGTGGGGCCCGGCCGCCCCCATTCCCGCCCCGCTGACGTCACCGTGCCCACGGGGGGGCGCGCCCAGCGAGGCGCGGAGGTTCCGCACCCGCAGCCACTGCCGTATGCGTTGCACCGAGGGCCGGGCTGCGGCTGTCGCGCTGCTCCGCGGCGGCGGGCACGGGGATGCACCTCCCTCCCGGCTGCCGGAACGGCTGGAGGAGGGTCCGGCGGCGGCACGGATAGAGCGCGGCAGCGGAGGTAACGGGCGCCGGGCGGGGAGGATGTGCTGAGAGCCGCGGAGAGTAGAGAAACTTTTCTTCATTCCCCTTCCGCGCTTTGCCCGCGGTGCCTGCCGAAGAGCCGCGGCTGGGGCAGCGACGGGTTTCCAGGACGGGGAGGCTAACCCACGGCTGGGGGGCGTGTTTCGGGATGAACCGTGGGTTGGGGCATCTTCCTAACGGGAGGGAGCGGTCCGCTCATTTACCGTCATCTCTGCACCCCCGGTGGGATGCGTACGTCGGAGAGCCGGTACGGCCGGGGAGGGAGGTACGCGGGGACCGCGGTCGCTCCGGTAGCGCTTCCTCACTCCTGAAAACTCGTGGGGCGGGGGTGGCTAGTGCTTGCGGCGGGGACCCCTATCCCTGGAGGGTCCCCCCAGTCCCCGAGAGGTCCCGTCTGACAGCGCTGTGTCTCTCTCCTCCCTCCCCATCCGCAGCTGGCGCAGAACAGCCCCCTAGGCGCTGAGACGATGGCGAGCAGCCCGCTGCCCGGCCCCACCGACATCTTGCTGCCGTCGCCGTCCAGCGCATACCCACCGGAGTCCATGAACCAGCCGAGAGCCGGCCACGCCACTATGAAGCCCAACCAGGTGGGGCAGGTGATCCTCTACGGCATCCCCATCGTCTCCCTGGTCATCGACGGGCAAGAGCGGTTGTGCCTGGCGCAGATCTCCAACACCCTCCTCAAAAACTTTAGCTACAACGAAATCCACAATCGTCGGGTGGCCCTGGGCATCACCTGCGTGCAATGCACGCCGGTGCAGCTGGAGATCCTTCGCCGGGCGGGGGCCATGCCCATCTCCTCCCGCCGCTGCGGCATGATCACCAAGAGGGAAGCAGAGCGGCTCTGCAAGTCGTTCCTGGGGGAGAACCGGCCGCCAAAATTGCCGGATAACTTCGCCTTCGACGTGTCTCACGAGTGCGCCTGGGGCTGCCGCGGTAGCTTCATCCCGGCCCGCTACAACAGCTCCCGGGCCAAGTGCATCAAGTGCAGCTACTGCAGCATGTACTTCTCCCCCAACAAGTTCATCTTTCACTCCCACCGCACGCCAGACGCCAAGTACACCCAGCCCGACGCCGCCAACTTCAACTCCTGGCGCCGCCACCTGAAGCTCACCGACAAAAGCCCCCAGGACGAGCTGGTCTTCGCCTGGGAGGATGTCAAGGCCATGTTCAACGGCGGCAGCCGCAAGCGGGCCCTGCCGCCCGCACCGCCGGCCCCCGCCGCCGCTGCTCCCGCCGCCTGCCACCCGCTGGGCTCAGTGAAGGCGGCGGCCGCCGTGGTGGGCGGCGGGTTGCTGAGCCCGCACCTCCTGGCCGCCCCGCCGGAGCTGCACCAAAAGCGTCCGCGCTTCGAGGAGGATGAGGAGCTGCAAGAAGCCGTGGCGGCGGCGGCGCACGGCGGGAAGAGCCCACGGAGCTACCCGGTCATCCCGGTGCCGAGCAAGGGCTCCTTCGGCGGCGTGCTCCAGAAGTTCCCGGGCTGCGGAGGGCTCTTCCCGCACCCCTACGGCTTCCCCGCCGCCGCCTTCGGCCTCTGCCATAAGAAGGAAGAAGGCGGCGGCAGCGGGGCCGATGCCCTCGGCGGGGCGGCAGCGCACAAAGCCGGTGGGGCGGCTGCGGGCGGCGGCCTGTCGGGGCTCTTTTGGCCGGGTAGAAAGGACGCCGCCTTCTACCCGCCCTTCTGCATGTTCTGGCCGCCCCGTACCCCGGGCGGGCTGCCGGTGCCTACGTACCTGCAGCCGCCGCCGCAGCCCCCCGGTGCGCTGGGCTGCTCCCTGGGAGACGGGGCCGGCCTGCTGCGACAGGCCTTCCTGGACCTGTCGGAGCCCGGCGGCGAGGCGGGGGGCGCGGGGATGGGCACCGGGGCGCCGGGGATGGGCACCCCGCCCGCCGCCGCACCCCCGCCCGCCGCCGCCGCCGCCGCCAGGGACCCGCTGTTCGAGTCGCCCCCTGGCGGCGGCGCGGAGCCCGCCTCTCCGTCCGCCTCCGAGGGGACCGGCGGCGGCGGGCGGGTCCCCACGCACCATCCGCACCTGCTTGAAGCGGCGGGCGGGCGCAAGGGGGGCGGTGGGTACCACCACTCCAGCGCCTTCCGTCCGGTGGGCGGTAAGGAAGACTCGGAGAGCTTGGCCAAGCTGCACG